TATCCTATCAGACTCATAATACTAATTATGTAATATGCCAAAATGAATAAGGGCTGGCGTTTTATAAATATCAAGTACTTCATTAGCATTGCTTTAACACGTCTGACATCTACTACACCCGTGTTAACACTGATTACAGTATTTGTTAAGCAATTGTTCATTGAATTCACATTTATTTTGCACATATCTTGACAACTATTTTGTATATCCGATAAATTATTATTTTTATAATTGTGTTTATGTTCCTGACACAACTTTAGAAACACCTCCTCGAGTGTTGAGCACTGGTATTCCGACATGAGTTGGTTGGGCGCCGACTGTTTCAATATAGTGCCGGAGTTCATGAACGCCACCTGAGCCGCACTCCGGGCCTCCTCTATATAATGAGTCGTTATTAACACTGTTTGGCCTAAAATTTATACAAAATATTAATTATACTTATTATTTATTATCTCTAAATATACCATTTGTTTGGCACAAGTTCTCCAAATAATGCCATATCTTATGTCTGAGCAGTGAGTCGAGCCCCACAGTGGGCTCATCCAGTATAATAAGTCTCGGTCTGTGAATCATAGTTATGGCGATCGACACCCGGCGCTGTTGACCACCGCTTAACCGACTGATAATCCGTGACTTTTCCGGTAAATTCAATATTTCTCTCAAATTCGCGATTCTTTTATCAATTTCCTGACGATTCATATGATATATAATTCCGTAATAAATGAGAATCTCTTCGATAGTAAACTCGTCAAAGAGTGCCAACTCTTGAGGCATATATCCCACGCCCGCACCCGGAATACCCGACCCATCGGCACCGGGTTTCACACCAAACACATGAATTGAACCACTTTTCAGTTTAATGCCACCCAATATGGCCCGGATTAGTGTAGTCTTTCCCGTACCGTTTGGACCCAATATTGCAAATATTTGCCCTGATAAATTAAAAATGATTTTAATAACAGAGCATGTTTATTAACATATTATTTTTATAATATAAATATTAAACTAATTAACTTTATAATATTTGAACTTACGAACTAAATGATTGCTATGTACTTGTACACATACCTTTTGGAATACTTAATGATACATTATTTAATATATTCAAACACTGTTTATAACCAAACACAACATCATTTGCATTGACCGCAAAATCATTATTATTAAGTAGCATTTTTAATTAAAAAGTGAACACATATTATAATTTAGCTATAATATTGTTAAACTATAATAAATATTATATTAAGACTTTAGTGTTTCAATAGTTTATTGATTATCAGTGAAAAGGAGTTAAAAATAAAATTTAAGAAATTTGCCAAACGTTTTCGGTCTACACTGAGACCATCACCAGGGCTTCAGATGTTAAGAGATAATTGATATAATTGTCGTTAAACTGGTATTTGAATTATAATATAATATTTATTAAATAAATAAAAATCATCATAAAAATTTTGTTAAAACCCTTTTAGCATTGAACATAATTTACTACGCTATATTTAGTACACTATATTTTAAAATAGTAAAGTTTTTGATTTTCACTGTGAATTTCTGGATAATTATTTGTTTAAAATTTAATTATTAATGATTTTATGATAGAATTGACCTCTAAATTGATTGGCATTTATTGGATTTATATTAGCATTGCGTATATTTTATTGGTACATCAAATGAAGGATATCAAAACAATCAAAAATAAAAACATACAGTGAATGCCAGTAATTATTACTACACAAAATTCAACAATAATACAGTACTAAAGCAGATTTTAAACACGTGTTTCATTTTCATCGTCTCATATGTTTATATAGTATAACTTTAAATGACTTAAATATTTGAAATAACAACTAATGTATAGTTAGCTCTTTAAATAGTTGTGCAATATAATTTAAAGTTTGAATATAATTTAAGTTTATTTGAATTCCGGGAAATACGGAATTAATTCTTGTAATTTGAATGCAGGAATTAATTGTAATAAAATATATTTTTATGATTAAAATTGTAACATATTTAGCAATAATTTTTCTGAAACATTTACTAAATGCTTTTTGTCCATAAATACATAATAACAACTTTACGTAAAAATCGATTTGCAGACAATTTTTTATTAACATTATGAATTGTCACAAAATAAGATTCATAAGCTCTGTATTACAGAGTCTGTAGTTTAAAATTGTTAAAATATGTATTTAGCCTTAAACTATAAAAATTATTTTTTTAATCCTTCCATTTGTTTTTATTATAGTTTCAATAAATATTTGACATTGAAATTGATTTTATATAAGGTTTACCCTATTTTTACACAACATCCCCACTACCTGTACTGATGCAAATAAAGTTGCACAACTTATGATAGTATCGTAGATATTATATAATTAAAATGTTGACAATTAATATTTATGATAAACTGGTTTTATTAACACCAAACAGTTTAATAGTTAATTTTTCTAGTGAAATCCACCAGAAACTTTGTCAATGATATTTATTATATTAAAAATTCAAATTAAATAGATAATTATTCAAAGTAAAAATAATTTTACATAAATAAATTTTAAAATAAGCATTTAATTGACAAACTATACTGTAGTTAAAGTGAAATGTAATCATTAGGAAATATATTAATAAAATTACTTTAATTTTTATATCAATACAATTATCTTAATATTTTTAAAATGTTAAATAATAACTTATATGAGCAAGCAGTCAATGTTAATAATGTCATGTATTATTATAGAAAAGGTGTAAATATACTCAATAATGTGTCCCTGAGTATTCCAAAAGGTAAATAATTTTTAAATAATAAAATGTAATATATAGTTCATATAGATATTTAAAAAATTTTTAAATAATAATTA